TATTTACTTCACATCTGAGCACAGCATGAGCTTTTTCTCTCAGCACAGGCTCCACTGGGATGTTAATCTTTTCTCCTAATTTTCGAGCAATTTTGTGTGTGCTTTTATAATAATAATAAATAATAATAATAATAATGTTTAATTTATAGACAACGCTTGGGGTGTGGTTGTGAGATACTGGTGAATCTTTCATTTATGTATAGCCTGTGGGCTGACCAGGTGGTAAACTACATCTCTTCACCTGTTGATTACACATGGGGAGTGAGCCAGTGTCAATTTCAGTAAGTGTGTGTAGTTATCTGAAGTCAGGGTGGGCTGGGCTGCTCCTAGGCTTTTGTGTGGCAGTATTGGGTGTTCTTGGTTTTGACCATAGTGAATACAGAAAGAGAAGACTGTAGTGTTGTGTGTGTGCGTGTGTGACAGATATTTTGTTTTGGGCCCCCTGGAGAAGGCGATCAGTCTTAAGCTGACCTACTTTTCTCCTTTACTCCATACCTGCAGAGCTATTTATACCCATGGCACAGGGCTACAGGAGCAACTCAGACCAGCTCTCCCCTCACAAACGCACACATAGACACTTTCTCTAGTGCTCACACAGTTATGTGTACACATCTCCTGCCATCTCAGAGTTTTTTTTTTGTCTTGTTGTTATTATCATTTTCCCAGCCTGGCCTGTGGAGAGCAAACCCACCCAGCTATCAACCCACCCACACGGTGTGACATCCAAGGAGTGCAGTGAGGGTGAGTTGTATTCTTTTAAAGGATCTGGTCCCAGTATACATGTGGAAGCCCGTTTCACATATCGAAACATGAATGCCTAATGAATGCCTTTCCGTTTAATCTATGTTATAAGCATCAACCCACATCTGTAATTATTTGTTTGCCCCAGAATGTTTAGAGATTGAATTACAGTTTTGTTGAACCATAACTGGGTTATTTATCACAAAAGAAAAATTCATGTTGATTCTTGCTGAGTTGCTCAGTGAACAAAATATGCTTCAAAAGGTATTCTGGGTTCAATAAAAGTTAAGCTCAATCAACAGCACTTGTTGTGGCATAATGTTGATTACCACAAAATAATCATATGAATATAAAAATAAAATGTGGTGTTTCCTTTTTTTCTTAAAAAAGAAAAAAATCTAGATTACAGTAAGGCATTTACAGTACAATGAAAATGAATGGGGTCAATCACTGAAACTTTAAAATACCCACTGTTTCAATAGTACAGCCATAAAATGTAAATACACAGAATTTACTAACCTTGTAAAATTGTCTCCAGTTTTACAACTTTGTTGCTATTACTACATAAAGTAATAAATCATAAAGCCCTCAAGCAACTGTAAAACGGTTTTAACACAAGAATTAATGTAAGTGTTTTTATAAAATTATAAGCTTTACATTTCTGCTTTTAAAAATTGGCCTCATTTATTTCCTTTGTAAATGCCTATTCATAAAATCTATTTTAGTTTTTTTAGTAAGAAAACCGGGACGAGTCTAAATAATTTTTTTGTGGTAATTAACATTAAGGTGTGGTCACATTTACTTTAGGAGAAATTTTCAGGCAAAATCCACCAAATTCACCAAATTGACCAACAGAAAACTTCTTGGTTTGAAAGTAACTTCTGTGTGTGTATATGAATGACTACACTATTGGCAATAGACAATGGACCTTTTTTTCGCTGAAATTTCACTGTGACTGCACCTTTATGCCATAAATGCTAAATCCGAAATATTCTTTAAAAAATAATCACGATCAAAACTAGTCCTAACTTACAGATCTGATTTTACTGATTTTGTGTCTCTTTATAGCCACAGGAGACGTAAGCACCATTGTGCAGACAGAGGAATGGAGGACAGGAGGCACTTGCCTTCAGATGGAGGTGGCAATGCCAAGCGCTCGGCCTCAGCAGAGTGCGACACAGATGATAGAGCGGTCAGGAAGGCGCGGGGTGACCCTGAGACCTCGACACAAATGCGTGTGAGAAAAGACAATCTCTGTGATATCCCTCGCAAGGTGCCTCGTTTCCAGTATGTGGATTTCCCTTCTCTGCACCAGTGCATCCAACAGCTTTCTGTGCCTCCGCTCAACGGTTGGCTGGGATCCTGCTCATTGACAGAGGCACCAGACTACAGGCCCACCAGTCCTAAGGAAAAGGTTCCCAAGTTTAAATATGTGGACTACCCATCTCTCTACCACTGCATTCAGCAGCTGTCCGTACCTCCATTAGAAAGCTGGAGTGCAGGGCTGGTCAGGTTTAATGCAGAGGGGAAACAGGACGACTCTGGGACTATGAAGAATAACCTAAGGAATGAGGCAGGAGATCAAAACAACGAGAACAGGAATAGAGTTACAGCATTTTCTTTCCCAAGAGACACACACACCTCAGTCTCAGGTAAGGAGGAGAGGCCTCAATACGACTACACCTCAGAGGTGCGACAGAAGTTAGAGAAAGGTAACGCACCTCTAAGGTCCTGTGCTACTAAACCAAAAGCTGCTTTACAATCAGATTGCGGATCCAGATCAGAATCTGGTTCTGGATCTCATAGCAATGCAGCGGTGGTGAGAAACGACAGACCGTCGGTTATTAACATGGTGCACACAGATAAGCAGAAGCACTGGATAAAGGCAGATCACCTGGAAGAACAACTGAACTCTCCTGATTCAGTCGGACGGGTACCATGGAATACCCTCCCAGAGTCAGTCTGCCCATTCTGCCAACAGATGTTCACAAACCCTGAGCAGTTCAGGGCTCATCAGCAGAGCCATAGAGATAAGGTGACTAATGTTAACTGTTAAATAAACCAACTATTTATAGACAATGATTACATCCAGCACAGATTCTCACTTTCTTTTGTGACATACGCAACTATATTCTCTGTATGTAACTTAAAGGGATAGTTCACCCAAAAATGAAAATTCTGCCATTAATTACTTATCCTCATGTTGTTCCAAACCCGTAAGACCTTCATTCATCTTCGGAACACAAATTAAGATATTTTTGATGAAATCCAAGAGGTTTCTGATCCATAGACAGCAATGCAACTACCACGTTCAAGGCCCAGAAAGGTAGTAGGGTAATCGTTAAAATAGTTCATGTGACATCAGTGGTTCAACCTTAATTTTACGAAGCTACGAGAATACTTTTTGTGTGCAAAGAAAAAAAAAAGACTTGATTCAACAATTTCTTCTCTTCCGTGTCAGTCTTTGATGCGCGTTCACGAGAGTACCTCAACGCATGCGTGTGATCCTGCTGACACAGGAGCCAGAGTTCTGACTTAGAACCCGAATGCGCTGCGACTTGTGTCTTCTTATAAGCAGAAGAAGACTCACACTGTACATAAAAGTCTTCGTAAACATGTCTGCAGATTTCGACAGAGAGGATGACTTGCAATTCTTTTGCCAAGCCTTACGTATTCGAACCAGAATATACAGACAATGAACACGGAAGAGAAGAAATTGTTGAATAAAGTCATTCTTTTTGTTTTCTTTGCGCACAAAAAGTATTCTCGTAGCTTCATAAAATTAAGGTTGAACCACTGATGTCACATGGACTATTCTATTGGCCAAATTTTCATATCTGGGTGAACTATCACTTTTTTTTAGTTCCTTTTTAAGTAATTTCTTACAAATTATGTGGTCACATTTTTTTCTACATTCAGCTTCATTATTTCTAATTAACAATCACAATGTGTTCACAGAGACCAAACTGATGTGCAGAAGTACTGAGTGAGAACTGCTTTTGGCAAACAGTTAATGCCACATCATATGGAATCGTATCATCAGAGGCCTTCTTGTGTTGTGACCGGCTAAAGTTTTATTGCTGGCAGGACTATAGGGAGATCAAAGACACATTAAACACGTTTGGGTTCAGACCTTAGGGAGAATGCAAGACTTTGTCTTGACTGACTTGACTTGGAACTGGACAGACAGAAACAAACAAGCATACAATATGCATGCACATACAGTACACTTACAAGAGTGCTGACACACACACACACACACAGTATCCTATTCATGATTCAGAAGAGGTCAAAATCACATAAGGACCATCAGACATAATGGGGTTTCAGCTCAAGACGGGATTAGAACCAGATTTATAGTCTCTTCCACATATATATCAGCGTGTTTACAGGGGTGGGTGACGCTCGATGGACTGGTGCATAAGAGGATGAATTTTATTACATATGTGTTCCCCACACTGTGTGCATAGTGGCAGGCTAAATATTTAGCTTTGGGTGCCTACAAAAGAATGGCTATTGTTAATGTTGCACAAACAAACAGGCTTGTTAATAATGATTCGTTACATTAGCGTTTTATTGTTTTGTATTTTTTATGTTTTTGGAAATTAATGTCTAGTGGCTTTGAGCTAGTAACTTTAAATCTTAAAAATGTACCACTTGTTTTCAAGTATTTAATTGTGTGAGTAAAGATTTTTTCATACAGAAATAAATGTTTGACTTTTCAGTGCAGGCATGCCCTCTGCAAGAAAACCTGTTTGACAGGTTACCTCTCAGGTTCTTAGATGAAGTATTTATGCTTTATATAAACATAAGAGCTAATCCAACATCAACATCTACAGTAGCAAAACTCACTATTTACATTTAAAATTTGAGTCTAAATGGATTTTTTAATATTATGAAATATGTATATTGACCTTTTGTTTATAAACTTTTGCAGGAATATAATGCATTTTTATTACAATAAAGTTCTGATCAGCTAAAAACATGTTTATTTTTTAAGTACTATGCATACATAACTTATAGCAAAGGTCAAGTATTTCACATTTTATCTGGTTTTAAAATTAGAGAGAAACAGTAACATTGTTTCTTTTATGAATCTCAGAGACAGTTTACACAACCAAATTTCAATACATGTTTGCAATGGAATATTATGGACTGTATTTTAATTCACAAATACGCAAAAGATTTCAAATCACTAAAGGTTTAATTATGATGTCATGAATTTCCAGTACTTTCCAGAGCTCAGCTGTGGGGTTTCCTGTAAACAAATGCTGTCGCACTTTCATTCACACACAGAACAAGATCGACAGCACAGCACAGACATTTTCGGTGAGGATTTTTAAATAATCTCACTCAAACAGATCAAATGAAACGTACTAGAAGAACCAGAAAAAACTGTGTGGTAGTAAACCCAAACAAGGAAGAGCTGAGAAGCGTGAGAAAGACAGTTATACAGTGGAATGGAAGAGGAAGGACAATAATGGGAACTGGTATTTGTTATTTATTAACCATTTTTACATTTTGAATGGCAAATTATTAATACATTTGTTTATAAATATATTCACAACCACTGAAAAATGACTTTCACTTTCACTTTGTCCTGAGAATACTATGACGCAACATGCCTAATCAATGCTTCAGTTACTCTTATTGCACATTTCACGTTAAAAAAAACGTCCAATTATTATTCTGTAGGAAATTCACAGGTGTACGATTTGACTGATGATCTCAGCCAGGAGGAAAGTATTTTAAAGGTGAGAATACTTTTACGTTGAATACATTCTTAGCTTGTAACTACGATGTTGCATCATTAAATACCAGTCGAATATACAAAAGACCCTTAAAAAGCTGCTTAAAAATAGCAGGTCACCATAAAGACAGTAATGTCTAATGGAGCGCTATTGCTGGCAGTGCTTTTGGTTAAGTCACTGGATTAAACTGATCAAATTTGTCACTGTATCTTTTGTCTGTTGTGTGAAGGCGCTTTCTCCTCCCTCTCAAACTCAGTCATTAATTAATAACAAATCCGTAAAGACTTCTGGATCTCAGGAAGATGGAAACAATCTAGATCCCACAAACACAGTAAGCACTGTATATTAACTTCATTGCATTGTCATCAACTTAATCTGAACCAGACTCAACATAGTGTCATGAAGTTGTAAATCTTTATTAATTTCCACCCATATCTTACATTTTTCCAAAGTGCCCGGTTTGTTTCTCTGCACTTAAACCTGCATATATAAAAGGTACTACAGATAAACTGCTTCAGTGCACTCGATGCCCAACCATTCAGCTCCTCTGTGGCTCCTGCCTTTACCCCTGCACTTCTGCTGCCTGCACCAACAAGCTGTGCCCCCTCGTCTCCACACTGCTAACCTGTGAAGTGGTCTCAGATCCAAAGAGCAAAGTGCTTGGTTGTCCAATGTTCAGAGCCTGTCCCAAGTGTCATAATCTGATTATGCATGAAAAAGGATGCAAGTTTGTAACATGCACATCATGCTTTCACCGGTTCTGTTTCATCTGCTTGCAAAATGATTGTAGCAAGGATCATGCAAACTACTGGAATCTAACTTGCACAAAGCCGAGAGCAGAAAGACAGAGATTTATGTCACCACAAACCTGAACAGAGATTCCTCCAGGGTTGGACACTATTGTCTAAAATGCAAATGCAAGATTTGTCAATTGCAATACAGAAGTAATCAGTAACAGAATTAATTTCACAAACTGATTCAATATACAAAAGAAATAGAACATTGCACTGATCCCATCTTTCCCCTGTGCTTTGAATCTATGCTATGCCTTACACCTGACTGACTTGGTCTTTGGTTAGCAGGAATAACAACTCAAGTAAACTTCAATAAAGTAGCACTAGTGGACACTAGCTGATTTGTATCCCTGTAAAACGTAGTTATTAGAGAAACGGATTGTACATTATTTTTCCTATAAAACTGTGCCACGCTACTTCTTTTATACCTAAAATGTCAGCAATCTTATCACTTAAAACAACAGCTCATGGTACAATACAGAAAGATACATAGAGCGTTTCATTTTAAGTATTGATGCATCTAAGGATTCTTAATAGCAACCTATAATTTATTCAATTCTATATTACTTAGCATTTTACTTATTTTACTTGCTATTGTAGTGATTTTTATTGCTGTTTTATCTATGTTTGTGTGGTTTTAAGGGTCTTCACAAGTTAGTGATAAGAGAATGTCTCCATTTCAAGGATTTTGATGTCACAGTATAATGTGGTGAAGTAGTCATTTTCCATTGCTTTTAGATTGGTATAAAACTTGTTGGATTTGTGCTGATCAAAATACAGAAGGGATGAAGTTGAGATGAAATCTGAGCATTGAAACATAGGCAACTAAAGGCTGGAATACACTACACAACCTTTAAAATCTGAGTGCTAGGGATCATACACTTACCAACTTTGTAAACAGTCACATACACTATGCGATCTGTCAACTCAAATCTGCAGGCTGGCTCTGACTTTCTGCAACTAGCATCCACTTCTGCAGACTGTAAATCGGGGGGAAATTGGGACAAAAGTCTTGTAGTATATTCCAGCCTTTAGATTATTACATAAACCTTGGTCATTTTTTATCATCACTTCATCTCATGCTTTTGGCTATTTCATGTCATTCTTCTGTCAACCTCTCAGGCTGATAGAAAACTTTTAGTTAATACGGTTTTGGGTACAATACAAAATGCAAACTCTGCTGACAGTTTTGGATAACAGACAAAACAGATGTCTATTGACAGGATCTGGTAAAGAGACTGCATTCAGTATTCTGGTGTGGAGATTCAATCTAACTGTATTCATATTAAAGTCTTTCACAACAGAGTATTGTCCAGATTCAGGGTCCTATTGTCAGGCACTTTAAATCTTAGGGAAAGAAAGATATTTTTAAAGGCATTAAGGTACAATTGATATCCATTTGACAGATGTGTTTATCCAAAGCAGGGACAGTCATTTCAGGGATAAATCCAGGAATATCATCTTAAAGGGATTGTTCACCCAAAAATGAAAATTCTTTTATTCCTTTAGTCCTTTCAAACCCATAACACTTTGGTTAATCTTTGAAACACAAATTAAGATATTTTTAATAAAACATGTTTTGTCCCTTCACTGAAAGTCTAGGTAACTAAAACTTAGAAGATACAAAAAGGTCACAAGGGCATTGTAAAATCCATATGAATCAAGCGGTTTAATCCAATTCCTGTGGATTAAATATATAAACACACATACATAAAGCGCATCACATATGGTAAATATGGATGCTTGTGCATGTGTCACGAGCTACAACAAACCTCATTGATTCCCACGTATCACGCACATTTTGAGCTTCTGTATTCACCAAAAGTGATGTTCAATGTATGTGTGTTGATCATTGTTAAGATGTAAATAAAAGGATATTTTTTTTAAAGCGATTTATATGGATTCATTTTAAAACTGCATTTTGGTTCTTGTAAGTTTTGGTTACCTGAACTTTTAATGGAGGGACAGAAACCGCTCAGGTTTCATAAAAAATTAGAGATGCACCGATTGCAATGTTCTTGGCCGATTCAGATTTTTTTGTGACGTGCCGATACTGATTTGTGCCAATTCTGATTTTCTCTCTAAGAACTATAATTAACAGAATATTCAAACAAAAATCTATGCAAATTTCAATGCAAAAAAAGTATTTACATAATAAAAGAAATTATTAAACATTACAACTCCCCCAATCTGGACTAAGTTACAGATGTTCTCTCACTTAAAAAACTCTCAAAATATCCATCTTTTCACTGCAGAGGAAACAGAAGCTGCATCTGAAGTGGCATTAGATGTATTTAAACAGACTGTTTGATGAAGCTGAGGTGCCATAAATGCATTTACACCACAAAATTTCAAAATGCATAAATAATTTTATAAGATTAATGTTTTACATATTTTTTTAAACATACAAATAAATGTTGGGAAAAATGCAATGATACTTTTAAATATAATCAAACCACCAGTAGGCAATGACAATCACATGCGATTTATCGTGCAGCCCTAATTCATTCAACCTATTCGTTCAAACGGCTGATTCAATCAGAAACGAGGCAAGTGACTATCTTTATGAATGGGCCACTGAATCACTGACTCAATCGATTCGTTCAAAAACGTGGATTCATTCAGTAACAAAACACCGCTGTGTTACTCGGAGACACACAACTGTTCTGCTGTGACTTTGATTGGAACGATTTTCATTTGCAAAAATGAGCAAAAACAGTCAATATTGTGTCTAAAATGTAAGTCAATTAATTTTAACTTCTTGTTTATAGAACTACTATTGTATAAAATCAGTGTCACACTGCAATCATGTTGATATTGATATTCTGGGAAACATCTTGGCCGTGTAATATTGCTTACCTAAATCGTATTTTATAAAAAAAAAAATTCTTGCGCAGTATGCATCTATAACGTTCTGTGAGTGCTGTTGCGCTCATTTGGATTTCTGCACGAGTCTCTCTCACACACTCACTCAGGCTGCGCAAGCCTCATCTGGCACGACATAAATACATGTTTACATGCGGATGTATGCGTAAGTGTGACTTCAAAACGGACCGGCTCGGAATCGGCAGACTGACCGGCCGGTCACCGGGCCGGGCCGATCACGAGGAAAATCGGCTAATTCCAGTCCCAGGGCGGTCGATTGGAGCATCTCTATTAAAAATATCTTAAAGGGGTCCTATTATGCTCTTTTACAAAGTCTTGATTTTGTTTTGGGGGTGTACTAGAACAGGCCAAAATTCAAATTCAAAGATCAAAAAAGTGATAAAATATCTCCTTTTGAATTGGACTTTGAGCTTAGTAACTTTGCAGATCATTTTTATGCTCAAACAGCAACATTACAGACTGAAAAAGCATAATAGCACCCCTTTAATTTGTGTTTCAAATATTAACCAAAGCCATTTGGAACAATATGAAGGTGAGTAAATTATTAGAGTTTTCATTTTTGGGTGAACTATCCATTTAATAACCTTTTGGCTTCTGGGGTGACCCTATATTGGATTCATCCTGCAACACAAGACTACTATAAATAATGCATTTATACAACTGTTGTCATGAACACTGATGGACCTTCAATCCACCATCATTTCGAAACTTTTTCCCACACTGACCACAAACATAAGGTTTCTCTCCCGTATGGAGGCGGAAGTGGCGTTTGAGTGTTAATGCATGACGGAAGCGCGCGCTGCAGATGGAGCAAGTGTACGGCCTCTCTCCTGTATGGATCCTCTGATGGATCTTGAGATGGTGCTTACGGTTAAAGTCTCGTCCACACAGGCCACAGCTATACAGGTTTAGGCTGGGGGGAAATGCATGGTGCTCAGGACCTTTGTGATTGGTGTTGTGGAGCTTTGGGAAGTGTGTTTGTTGGCCTGAGCTTGAGGATGACAGGAAATCAAAGTCTAGGGGCAGAGAAAAGGGAAAACTACATGAAAAAAATCTTGTATAATGGCATATACCCTTGCTTAAATGGATTAATCAGTCTATAAATGTACTCATTGCAAACTAATATCAGCCCCACTTAGGCCTGTCACGATAACAACTTTTTGTTGTGTGATATATTGCCCCAGAAATAATTGCGATAAGCGATATTATTGTCATTTTAAAGACCATTTTTAATCTTTAAGTAAATATAATGTGCGATATATTGCATCACCAAAAATTATTGAGGTCATGTACATATATTGCGCGATAAGTCGATATATTGATTATTGCGACAGGCCTAGCCCCACTAGCATGGAATATTACGTACACAGTACTCACCTAGGGATTGGTTGGTGGACTGGCAGTGCATGTTTGATTGGCAGCTCTCTGACTGCAATGGCTCAGGTCTCCAGTCTTCCAGTAGTCGAGACTGAGCCAGAGAAAGGCTGTCTGAGTTAGGCTCCTCTGCTTCAGAGAGGGACACTGGGATTGGGTCACCATAAACCTTCTCTTTCTCTACCTTTACAGCCACTTCCATGGATGACTCCTCACTCAACAACACACTTGAGACTGTCCCAGCACATGCCTGCACAGTTTTGGTCATACTGTGTTGCTCATTCTTGATGTCTGAAAAGGGAGTGACTCATTAAATTTCATCAATACGGTCCAAAACATGCACAGTAGAAAGAAATCCTGTTAAATTTATGTTAAAAAATGGCAGCTATACCAGAAACAATATAATGTTAGTAAACCAGTCCATCTGAACTATCAAAATCTACGTTTTACCTTAAAATGTACTGATAACCACCATGATAATACAGGTGGTACATTAGAATGCCACATAATGAGTCAGAGTTCATCATAAATGGCCTGTACATAAAACATGGCCAATACTTATATACAGACAGGACAGAGGGTCATGAAAGACAAGGGCAACACATATGAAAATAAAATAATGCTATAAATATTCACACAATAACAGAAAATGTAACAAAACACCCTACCGCTGATAACAAAACTAAGAAAAAAACTATACTATATAAATTACACATATATAACATGTGATGTGACAGTAAAATTACATATAATGCGATTAAAAAAACGTAACGTTATATGGTTTGGTAACCAATTAACAGGTTTTTACTCTAGCATTTTTATAGTCTTCTTTCTGTGAAAGCTGCCTTTTTTAGGCAACTTGAAACTTGAACTCTGTCATACGAGTGTAAATGGGTCCCAGCACTACGACAGCACCACAGTTACGGGTAATAACAACCCACAAGGGTTATAAATGTACAAGGAAAGAGTAAACATGAAGCCAAAATGTGCCAGCTGTTACAGAGGCGGTTTGTTATTGCGAAATCATTGACAGTCGGTCGTTTTAAGTGGTTTATGCCTTTAAACGCACGCATTTTAATCGTCTTCAAATATCTTACCATTTGTCTCATCTAATCTATAGTGTGTTGACTCTTCAAGTGAATCCGAGTTTAAAGTCTGAGCGCACGCGCCTCCATGGGGCTTCCCATAGACTGATCCTCGCCGCAATACATTAGTTTCCTTGGATCCACACACCTCATAATCATGTTCCGAGTCCACGGCGGGCTCGGTTTGTTGCCCGACATTAAGGCTATTTAACTGTCGACAGCCGCGCTCAACCCTGCTGCAACTGATGGGAGGGTTTGTCACCAGCTGACTGCTACTACCGATGGGAACATCTTCGAGCCTCTGTGGCTGTTGATTCAAGCGACCACACACATTAGAAAGTTGTGTTTCAGCTGTTTGTAGCCTAAACTTGAGCGCACTATTGTCCTGCAGAGCCTCTTGAATCTTGTCTTGCACGTCTCTGAGCGCTCTGTCCAGCAGTCTGGTGATCTCCGCGACGGCGATCTCTACCGCGACACCGAGCGCGTTCTGCAGGGTCGCAGTCAGTTCATCTCGAAACGAGAACGATACGTCAGCAGTCACCGCGGGGTTTGCAGGACCGCCGTTTACCTCCATTTCCCTCCTCGTTTAAAATAACTTTTCGACAATATTCTAATATCTTAAGAAGAGACGAGGTGAACCGCTCACCTGATAACCCTGCAGTGGCGAACGTTTAGTAGTTGGCCAACTAAAACGTTCCCTTCGTTGCGTGCAGTTAAAACAACGGAACATTTGTAGTTATTTGTACTTATTTTTTGTCGATCTCATTCAACCCCTCAAAAAACAAACAAACAAAATACATATAAAACACATAACTAACTGTTGTTAATACTGGAAAAATATCCAATACAAATTGACTGAACAAAACTCCGGGAAACACAGTAGTCCGCGTTGTATTTATGAATTTCGTTTTCTTTTTTATTGCACAATATAACGTTACATTGTTAGACAGGGAACATACAAAGATTTGCTAACATGAAAAATTTGCAATATCATGGAATGGACTCATTACAAAAAGTAAATCAGGACAGCACTAAATACGTCTTTGACCTAGATGAGCATAAGTTTTCAGGCGTTCTATAGGCATGATGTCTTTTAAATCTAAAAGAAGAATGGTATGCTATTAATTTTCACTGAAAGTCAGCAAGGTTGTACGAGTTGTTATTGATAAACGAAAAATGCTTTATGCATTTAGTTCATTATAGCTGTTTGGAAATTAAAGTAATTTTTAAATTAGTTTATAGACATCACCATCATGATGTCTATCAAGTTTCACGTCAATAATAAACAGTCGTCCCCGTTCTGCCTTTTTGTGCGTTGCAGTGTGCAAGCCTATTTAAGGGGAGCCGGAAGCTGAGCGCGAGGTACATGAACTTGATAAACACGGACTTGAACAGATCCTGTCGACCATATCTAATTTTGTCCCACCTGTTTACGTTCACTTACGTTTAGCGTCAGTCGAGGGATAAATAAATGTTTATCACATCTGTCAACAACGGCATTCACAACTAAACGTCTTAAAAGTAATAGAGGACAGAGGAAAACGACGGGAACAACAAAAAAGTTTAATAAAAACGGACAAGTAGAACTTTTCGCTGAAATTAGGTGAGAGCTTCTTTTTTTGCTTAAGAAAACGACATGGTTGGGTGGCGAAAGTCCGATGATGATTTTAGAACGGATAACATCTCTTACTGCGAAATATTGTGTATTCTTTGACAGCATTATGTAAAATAATACTATAAAACATGCAACAATGATGCTGCGGATTTTCCAATGTGTCTCATGTTATGTTTCCTTCACCTGAAGAACTTAAGCATGATTCATTAGCTATTTTATTAAAGTGAAAGATCTAATCTGTTAATACACATTTAAAAAGTTTGAAAACAAGCACATTTGTTGTCTTTTCAGTAGGAGACAAGAGAAAAAAAATAATGTGTGTCGGAGGCCCTTCGATTGACTTGGAATGGCAGTGTGGGGAACATGGCTGAGAAACACTCTCGGTACAAATTGCTCGTTTTCAGCTGAAATTTTAAGTGTCTGTTTCATGTTCATGTTGTAAATGGATTATGTGCATGTATTTTCATTAACTGCAGATTTTGCATCAGCATTAATTCAGTCAGCATTAATATTCATAATTTCTTGATACAGGTGAAAACTGGCAAGTGAGTTTCGCCGTATTGCATTAACACAAAAATTGCAGAAGGTAACCAACAGGTGTCGCAAACGCCTCGCTATGAGGGATGCACTAGCGCAAGAGACTTGCCAATGACCGGAGAGAAGGGGATTCCGCATTTAATAATTAAAAAATGCACTACTACGTGAAAAACAGAATCGTGTAAATTGTCCTTAAAAAAAATAATTCTAAAAAACATCCGACGTGCATTTCCTCCAAGTTTCCATATCCAAATTCACAAACTGGCTATTAAAAGAAACCATTTATGTGGAATAGAAAATATGGCACGCGAAATGTGTTAATTAAACCCAGAATATTCTGAACTGTCTCGTTCAACGAATCCATCTCCAGACATCAATGAATGCAATGCAGTCTTTCAGTTCCGCTCAGTGTACACCGTGTAGGCTACATGAACTGGCATTAGCGGGTTTACCAGTCTCATAGATGTACAGGCAGAGGGGGGCATCCGAGTGTGCGGGCTAGAGCTGTACAGTAAACAATTCTGGTACGCTTGCAGTGATACACAGCAGAATTGCATGCTAGTGCAGACGTCGTATGCCGCATGTGCACGCCTGTCAGTGGAGCCTGGGTGCACACAACCGTACAAGCTGGACCAGGAGGAAAACAAGCTCGAGCACTTATTTGGGCTCTCCTCGAGGGCGCGTGATTGCATGATGAGATTGCATGATGAGAGAGAAGAGACCTCCTGCTGTCATGAACGAATGTAAAACATACCACACATTTTAGGCAGACATTGGTGGATTAAAAAAAAACCAAGCAACTCGCCCAGCAATGGAGAACCAGACGGCGATGGAGCAGCAGAGCTACGAGGACGTGCGGAAAAGCGGTTATCTCCGCAAGCAGAAATCTATGCACCGGCGCTTTTTCGTTCTCCGGGCTGCCTCGGAGCAGGGCCTAGCCAGACTCGAATATTATGAAAACGAAAAGAAATTCCGAAGCAAGTCACCAGTCCCAAAGAAAGCAGTGAACCTGGACTCTTGCTTCAACATCAACAAACGGGCAGATTCAAAGAACAAGCATATGATAGTGCTGTATACCCGCGGGGAGAGCTTTGCCATAGCCGCGGACACTGAGGAGGTCCAAAACGAATGGTACCAGGCCATGCTGGATCTACAATGTAAATGTGAGCCAGAAAACTATGATTGTACCCTTGAGTCGAATTCGTAAATGACCTGTCATTCACATATGGCTGCAGCATGGACCTTGGTGGTTGTAGTTGCTTAACCTGCCCATCAACTTGCGCGTTGATGATGGGAGCCCCCTTGGCTTAAGTGGATCTATATTTGCAAAGCTGTTTGGATTCAAATGCACGTTCTACCCCACCCGTCTGTTTAATGTAGCCACCACACCTGGAAATGTGGATGCACGCGTTATTAAAACGGCCAAATTGATTGCGGTTCATGCTTTGTAGAGCCATTCAGTAGCCTACATTCACAAATTGACGAATTTGTAATTTGATTTTAATTAGATTGTTAATAGAAAACCGAGATGCAGAATGTTCAATATTTAAATGCTCTCTGCACTAGACAGAACTACTAGCATATAGTGCGTAATGCAAGAGTGGCGCATTGTGTAGCGGGCGCTGCTGCAGCGCTCACGACTGTTTTTGTTTTTCTACACATTTGTGCATGTTGTGCGTGTAACCTACATTTCTGTCATAGCGATTCTGCCGGGGAGGGGAGCCGCGGTAGCCGTGCGTGTTTATTGGAATACGGGTCTCCTCTTGCCCCATCCCTCGTGTTTTGGTAGAATACGATCCCCCTACCCCGCCTTTGAATGAACCGATCACCGGGTTGAACAGCAGGCCATCAACGTGATGATATGGAGACATTAGTTGCCGAGCAAGCGATTCTATAAGCCTTCCTCGGTTTGATTAGCGTCTGTAAAGGCTATAATGGATTCACTTGGCTGTAGTGTTTGTATCAAGCTACTGCACGGAGAGCATCTTTAATTTTTTTCAGTTTTCACAAGCACGCTACAAATTATGCAAGTACAACATTGGTCAGACAAACTCTAATAAAATCGAATGGTATGCAAACAAATCAGTTACAACCAGTTAGTTTATTATAGACTAATCAGTCAAAATTAGTCCTGACTTGATCTGATTGGTTTGGTTGTAGGTTTGGTTGGCACAGTTCTACTTGCTTGTTCTTAATTGAATGCTGTCACAAATGTAACAAATAAACGTTTGCCCTTTTAACCTACACAAAACCTAGGAGGATAAAATTAAATAATTTGTGGTAATAAAGTAATTTAAATAAATGTGTGCATATTTAATATAATAGATGTTTTCATGGCAGTTCTGTTAATAAGATGACATTGGGATAGAAAAGGCATATCATCATAACATTTTGCTCTAAATATGTATAACATTGTATTTGATTTTTCCACTTATGAAATTCATTCCAAAGTTTTAGGATGTGACCAGCAAGTGACTATAATTTCCCTCATATTAGCGTGGCTTAATAACACAGTGCTTCCTTCACCTAATGGTGTGCTGTATGAAAAAATATTCATTTTTGTGGCAATTCTTATTTGAAGTTAGAAATTTAATGTTTAAATTATGGCTATAAGTAGATAGATATACACAACCAACATAGAGCAAAACACACTTTACATTAAAATTCCCTCAAATAAATGCATATTTATTGAATTTTTTTTATTGTGTTTCTATTTTTTATTTTATATCTATAGGTAAGACTCCCGATGAGTGTGGCAGTGGAGGAGACTGTGAACTGCCTTCCCCTGGCCCTGCCTTTAAGGAGGTCTGGCAAGTTAAAGTCTGGCCTAAAGGTTTGGGCCAAGCCAGGAATCTAGTTGGAATCTACCGACTTTGCTTGACAGACAAAACAGTCAACTTTGTCAAACTCAACTGTGATGTTGCAGCTGTGGTCCTCCAGTTGATGAATGTGCGACGCTGTGGCCACTCAGAGAACTTCTTTTTCATTGAAGTGGGTCGTTCTGCCATGACAGGTCCTGGAGAATTCTGGATGCAAGTAGAGGATTCAGTGGTGGCGCAGAACATGCATGAGACCCTTCTTGAGGCTATGAAGGCTCTGAGCGAAGAGTTCCGTCAAAGAAGCAAATCCCAGACTGTTGGTGTGAACTGTGGAGGAGGAACTGCCTCTAACCCTATCAGTGTACCTTCTAGACGACACCACCCAAATCTGCCACCTTCACAGGTTGGCTTTTCCAGACGTGCTAGAACGGAAACCCCTGGAGTCTCCAACAGCAACACGTCTCCTACTCCACGGCACGGATTTTCTAGGTCACGAACAGCCAGCATTGGGGCACGTACAGATGATGGAGGGGGCAGAGCAACAGCACTCAGCACAAGTCCGAGTCTCAATGGTTCATCCTGCTCAACTACCCCAACCCTGAGGCCTAAACCTACACGAGCACCCACTCCAGCAAAGATCACCCTCAGCCTAGCACGATACACCCCTAACCCTGCACCTTCCCCAGCCCCCAGCCTCTCGTCCAGTTCGGGTCATGGGTCAGAGTGTGGGTTGGGTGGAGCTGCTTTTGGAACAGTGCCCATCTGCACTTATGCTCGAATTCCTCAGAGAGTGTCCATGTCAGGATCACCCAGTGATTATGGTTCATCAGATGAGTATGGCTCCAGCCCCGGAGAGCACTCCTTGCTAGCCGCAGGACTCCCTGCTGCTCTTGTTGAAGGTGGAGCCAGTTATATCCTGATGGGTCACCGAGAAGGGTCTCACAAACGTGTTCATGGACGCAGGGTTCTTCGTCGTTCATCTAGTCGCGAGTGTAAGGCTGAGCGCAGGCTGCTCAGCAAGCGTGCTTCTCTACCCCCCACCTCTACCCAAGAGCGTTTGGTCCCACGCCGCAGGGAGGAAGAAGAAGAGGATGAAGAAGACTATGCAGTGATGTCACGCAGTGCAAGTAGAGAGTCTTTCACATCTCGCCGAGGCTCAGGGGGTTCAGCTACAACATCATTGGTGCAGGAAATCTCAGCAGATAAAGGTGTCAGTACTAAAGGGGGGCCTGAAGACTCCTCAATTGATAGTGGATACATGTCTATGCTACCAGGCGTTACGGCTCCTCCTGCTTCATTGTCACTGTCAGTTACTGGTTCAGATGTAGTGCCAAAGGGTGGAGATGAATACATGGCCATGACCCCCAACAGTAGTGTCTCACCCCCTCAGCACATCCGCCTACCCATCAATGAGGGCTACATGATGATGTCTCCTAACAGCAGCTGTTCACCAGACTTACATGGCTTAAGTGGATGCATTTGGGGCAGCAGGGGCAGCATGGAGAGTCGGGCAGGCAGCGACTACATGAACATGTCACCTATAAGTGCCAGGTCAGCTTGCAGTACTCCTCCATCACACCCAGAGCAGAAACCACTGCAGCCAAAGATGGTTTATTCCTATTTTTCACTGCCACGTTCATACAAACACACTGCCCTCTCAACCCGTTTTGAGGATGATCTGGACAGGGTTTGTATGGGTAGAGGTGAAGCAGGAGGAAAGGTTGGGCATAGTGGTTATCATTGTGGAGGGGACACACCTGTGGGCTCAGGTGGTGGTCGACAACTCTCTCTGTCCTCATCGTCCTTTTCCTCTAGTTCAGCTAGTAGTGAAAGCCTTGAGGACAGGTCATTGTCTCTGTCTGTTGGTGGAGTGGGAAGAGCAACTAGGTTGGGTGCAGGACACAGGGTAGGGGGGGCTCACCCCAAAGTTTCAGCCCAACACCATCACCAGCAGAGATGTGGGCCAGGTGTTCAGAAACAGGGTCATTTACAGTCAAGGAAGTCATCCACTTTTTATGTGGATGTGTCCAAAGCCAATACGCTGCCGAGAGTCAGAGAGACTTTGCTCCCAACTGCATCCCAGAGCCCTGGAGAGTATGTGAGCATTGTATATCAGGGTGAGCGAGGAGGACATAAGAAGGGGAGGACTACAGCTGAGCTAGGGAACTCTATGGCACAAGGACATCAAAGAGCCTTTCACCAACCACAGCCATGTCAAGGTGGATCTGCCAACCTTCCTCGGAGCTTCTCAGCACCCCTCTCCACCTCCATCTCTTTATCGTCTGAATATGTAAACATGGACTTAGGTAACTCACCTTCTTCTCTCACTACCCTCTCTTCTTTTAAACCTGCCCCAAAGGTCAGAGAGGAGATCAGCAGAGCTCCTCAAGTAGAACAAGAAGTGGAAATGGGACTCAGGAAGAGCAGTATGACAGGCTTGACATCTACAGATGTGGCTGCTGCTACTTTTACAGACTATACTGAGATGAAATTTGGATTGGTTGCAGATACAACATCCAAGTCCCCAAAAGCTGGCCAAACACCTCTGCCATCCTCCATCGAGCAGGAGCATAACATGAATTTCCCTTCACCCAAGGCTTTTTCAAACATAGATCAGGGTGCCCGTCTAGTCAGGGCGGAATCAACAGCAAGAAGGCGGCATCGCTCAGAGACATTCATCACTCCCCCAACTCACCCCCTCTCCCCCTCTGCTTCCCCTTGTCCTTTTTCTGAAACACCACATGTTGGTCCAACACGACAGCAAGGATTAGAGAGCAACCTTTGGTCTAATAATCAGCCATCCTCTCCACAGTGTGCCAGTCCTGGAGTAGCAAATCTTCCTGCTGCTCAGGCATCTTCCTTAACCCTGGAGCAAGGCCTGAACTACATTGATTTGGACTTGGTCAGTAAGGAGAATCAAACTAGTGTGGATGGACCCTGTGGCCCTCATTCATTTTTCTCTCCTGTAGTAGGAGGGTTAACTGGGGGATTGGGTGGAGCAGGAGGAAACACCAGCTCCAGCATCAACACATATGCCAGCATTGATTTCATTAAATCAGATGAATTGAGAGTTCATCAGAGCAGCAGGAAGGACAGCAAAGGTAAAAACATTGTCCTTTTACTAAACTTTATTTACTGCATTACTGAAGCCCAATTCAGATGTTTGCTTCTCCATACTGTTAGCATTTGTCTTTTCAAAGTATTAATCTCTGGTGTTTTTCCATCGTAACCAAAAAGCCATGATGTGACTGCTGAAAATGAACAGCGGTGTCACGCTCACAAAACATTTTTTGAATGAATGAATGATCAGGAGGTCTCCCATCCAGGTACTGACCAGGCTCAACCCTGCTTAGCTTCAGTGGGCAACCAGTCTTGGGCTGCAGGGTGATATGGTGATATTTTTGAATCCTTATCTCCTTGAGGAAGAATTATAAAGGCTATAAAGTAACAATATCCTTGGTCAACACTATTCTTCATTCAAGACAGAATGCAGTCATTTTTTTATTTGTTATTCAGTCTATTTGTGTTGGAAATTTCTAAATATTTCCTGCTGAGGCTCACACAGTGATGGTAATGGGCTTTTCAAGGGTTATTTTGAGGCCTCACTCCTCTCTTTCTTTTTGTTATAGAACAATAGTAAATATTGTAAGCCTAGTTTTGTATTTGGACTGCTCTCTGCCTGGTTCCATCAGGGAAGGGGAGGTTGAGTGTAAGAAGAATCTGACAACTTCTGCGTTGAAGTATTTACCACAGATCAAGGTTGTTGGTTGTGAGTGTGTTTTGTTACAGTTCATGAGTGCATGGTAAGGGCAGTGTGAGTACAGACGTACAGTATGCATGTTTGTGCCTGTGATGTGTGTGAATAGAGAATATAGCATATTTGTGGCTTGTCTAAGTGTTTATAAGGGATACCTCTGAGAAGCCCTGTATCCGCATATATATTTAACTCACTGTGATTGTAGATAATTATGGCTATTTAACTTCAGTCTTGCTGAAAATGTTCCTGAATGTGGTTCTGCTTCTACTCATCTCCTCTCCTCTCTGTGTTGATTTCTCCAAAATATTTAAACACTGTGGCTCTGTGATGCATTCATCATTGATTGTTTGAGGAGCCCAACATAGCAACACTGATTCAACCAATGGTTTTGAGGGTGAGAGATTACCTACACTACTGTGCCAAACTCTTAGGCCGTTAGTATTTTCACCAACAAAAAATGCTTTTAAGCCAGTTATTTCTGTCTTTTGCTGTAGTATGTCAGTAGAAAATATAAGTTTTATCGGTACATTTTCAAACATTCCTTTTGCCATTAATTGTAATAATTCAGTGAGATTTTTGTATACACAACATGAAGAATCAGAAAAAAACTGAGATCCAGAAGACTAAATCCAGAAGAACTGTGGCAACATCTCCAAGACACTTGAAGAAACCTACCTGCAAAGCTACCTAAAAACCTATGCACAAGTGTACTAAGGACAAAAGCTGTTTTAAATTCAAAGGGTGGTCACACCAAATGTTGATTTGATTTAGTTAATAGAAATTAATTTATTTTAATACATTATTTTTGAAAGCATCATCACTTTACAGTATTTTTACACAAGTGCCTTTTAACAGTACTGTAGCTTTGCAGGTAGGTTTCTTCAAGCATCTTGGAGTTGCCACAGTTCTTCTACATTTAGTCTGTCTCAGTTTCTTCTGTTTCTTCAAGTAATCCCAGACGGACTCGATAATGGTGAGATCAGATCTCTGTGTGGAGCACTGGCTGTTGTCAGACTCTATGTGTAAACAAAAATCTCACTGGATTATTACAATTAATGGCAAAAGGAATGTTTGGAAATGTAAACTGATCATTCCTACTGACACACTACAGCAAAAGATAGAAATAACTGGCTTAAAACTTTTTTTATTGTTGTTGTTATTGTTGGTAAAAATACTAATGGCCTAAGACTTTTGCACAGTAGTGTATTTTTCCAAAAAATAGCGATGTAGGAAGTGTTTTGTAAACAGCCATTTTATTTGCAGTTCTGTTTGGTGCTGCAGGTGCCACTGAAACTGGTTGCTAAGTTGTGTCTGTTGTGTCTATTTTGAGTAAGAGACCCATCTTCAATAACTCACATTAGATTTGTAGAAAAAATGATTTAGCCTTGTCCAAAACTTTAAAAAAGAAAGAAATGTCAAGGTGTATCCTTGACTTTGCAATTTACTTCAGTGCTAGGCTTGATAAACATCCTGAAAACCATCTTACTTAAACTACTTACCATCAGGGTGGAAAGTGTGCGGGGGTGGAAATTGGAAATTGTATAAGACGAATAGTATGAAAGACAAAGAAAGGTCTTTAGTGGTTGAAAGATAGATGACACCAGAAACCAAAAGAATGAACTAACAGAGAATATGTGGTCTCTGAAAGACAGTAAGGTTGAGACTTGATAGACAGAGAAAGATTAACAGAGACAGACACGGAGTCAGAGCGTCAATGCAGGTATTGTGTGACTCAAAGTGACGCTCTGAAGGCTTTACCTCATACAAACCCAGTCACCACAGTGGTGCTAAGAAGAGGGGAATCTGCTCCGACCCAAAGCTGTCTAGACAGGCAGGTTGCTGTTGGTCAGAAGAGCTGTAATCTAGTATAGAGGAGAATACATTCCTTTATAGTGGACCTGAAGGAAGCCATTTACTCACACCAGCTTAATGCATGGCAGTGTATGTGTGTGTTTTGTGTATGTGCAGTGATTCATTACATTACCCAGCTAGAATTATCATCAGTTTAAAAAATTGAGAAAAATCCAATTTGTCCTCAGTGTAACTCTTCCCAGTAACACACCTCTCATAGGGCAGAAGTTTAGGATCAGTATGTTTTTGTCTGCATGCATATTTGTTGTAAAAGCACAAATCTTTGCTCTCCTTTCGTAAACTGCTTTCATGTGCTGATTTTGTGTCTTATGGTTTGTCTGTTTTTTTTTTTT